AGTTCAGATGTTTTTAAGAATGTGATGATCATCTCATATTACCACTTGAGCTTTTTTAGCTGATTTGCTATGATTGTGTGGTATCCTTTGACCTTTTTTATAGATATGGCATGTGGTTGATAAACATGAGTTCAAAAGAAACCTGTACTGTGTCTTTATAGTGGGAGTGAGTGGCAGAGACTGTGACTCACTTTTAAAACTTAGAGTGGGGGCTACGCCTGGGTGATGAAGTCGTTGCCGCCTGACTTCAGCCAGGTCACATCTTGCGGTCCGTGAGTTTGAGCCCCACGCCAGCTCTCCTGGGCTGATGGCTCAGAGCCCGGAGCCTGTTTCCCCAGGTCTCCCTCTGCCCCTCCCCTGCTCATGCTCTGTCTCTCTCTGTCCCAAAAATAAAAAACGCTGAAAAAAAAAAAAAAAATTAAAAAAAAAAACTCTAGAGTGAAGTAAACATACACAATTACATATAATGGTCTATTTAATTTGAGAAAACTTATAAAAAAAAAAATCTGTATTAAAAAAAAAGTCCTCAAATTAAAATTTGACATGTATAGACTTAACATAAGTTTTGGCTTATTTTGAGCTTTTCTGAGTAAAAATCTCCATTTAGACAATTCTAGTAAAGAACATTATCTAAAAGGAAGACACTGTCCCCTGGCATTAGCTGGCATGTTATTATTATTATAAGATTCCTGCTACTCTGAATTTGATGACATTTCAGCCTTAATGATGAATTTCCTTAATAGTTCCTGCAATGTGTTAACTTATTTATTAGTTGTTCCTGATTTTCTTTAAGTCATGGTAAAGAATATTAGCCAAGTTGGATATCAAATGTATTCACTTATTGTTTTAATGCAAAAATGTAATGTAAAACCAAGAAGCAATTCTCATTGCACACTGGCCCTTTTGTTTGGATGGACATCATATGGGGAAAAACTCTCTCCTGATATGTTGTTAATTAAAAAAATTTACAAAGCCTAACATTCAGTAATCAGTGATCTATAAGTGCCAGGTACTGTGCTAGGTGAACACCTATATGATCCTATCACTTCATTCCTTAAAATCTTCCAGTGGCATCTCTCAGACAGAGAATAATAAAACTTTTAACACACTCTGCATGGCCTACACAATCTCTAGCCCCATGACCACGCCATCCTTCCTGGACCACAGTGGATAAAATTGCTATGCACTCTCACATTATCCTGTTGAGTTTGCTGTGACATTATTTTGTTTATATATTCGGTGTTTTGTTTTTCTGTATCTCTCCTACCTACCTCATTTCCTTATCCCTCCATTTGCATTAGAGCGTAAGTACCGCGAGAGCGGGAAACTTGAATATATTATTTTTCACTACATCCCCCATGTATAGAATAGTGTCTTAATATAGCAAGTACTCAATAAATATTAACTGAATGAAAGGATGATTATTGTCTCTCAAAATAACCTTATAAGATGGGTATGATGTTTTTTATACATACGAGAAATGTTTCCTAAAATTGACTAAACTAAATTAGTGAGTCTCTGGAGTTTGGAAATCATTTGGCATGAATGCATGGTATACTTTCAGCCATTCTCTTTTGATCATGTAGATGTTTACATAATTCTGGGTGAAGTCCTTGGCTAATCATATTGAAAGTAGTACAAACTAGGCATATTTACTATAGCTCATGTAGTTCATTTAGGAAACCTTAGTCTCAAAAATAGTCTTTTGTAATGTTTAATTTAATTTTAATTTTGAGACAGAGAGAGAGCATGAGGGGAGGGGCGGAGAGAGAGAGGGAGACAGAGGATCCAAAGTCGGCTCTTCACTGACGACAGAGAGCCTGATGCGGGTGCCAACTCACAAACTGTGAGATCATGAGCTGAGCCAAAGTCGGACACTTAACTGACTGAGCCACCCAGGTGCCCCCAAAATAATTTTTTTAGGACCTTAAAAAGCAATACTTAATTATCCTTTCTATATTTAAAAGCATGGACAAAAATTAAGCTAAACCTGTGTTGTTATTTGTTACTGTTTTCTCATCTCTTTAAATGTTTATTTATTTGTTTTGAGAGGAGGGAAGGGGAAAAGAGAGAGGGAGCAAGAGAGAATCCCAAGCAGACTCTGTACTGTCATCACAGAATCTGATGCTGGGCTCAATCTCACAAACTGTGGGATCATGACCTGAGCCAAAATCGAAGAGTTGGACACTCTACCGACTTAGCCACCCAGGTGCCTCATCTCGCCATCTCTTTAAAACTCACTTGAAATTAAAAAACAACAACAACAACAAAAAAAAACCTCACTAATATTATTATGAAAATATCACCACATTGGAATTTGATTTAGGAGATTAGATAGAGATCCCTTTGTAAAGTGACAAAAAAAACCTGATTAAATATAAAATGTTTATCTTTGAATTTATTCCTGCACTATCTTTGTTAAAATCAATCTTAATACTATATCAAGAAATTTCCTTTGTGTTTTATGGCCAAAGTATTAAATAATGATTTGTTATACTTTCTGAATTTTATATCTGGTAAATCAAAATGTATATCTTGTTAGTTAGGTTACTTATTTTTATATATTACTGTATGAAGCTACCTTTGTTTTTCTCATAAGAATTACAGCTGAAAGAAGGAAATTCCCATAAACTATTCTATCTGCTGTTATTTGTTAGCATACTTCACTTCTTAATTTCAAGTATAAATCTGTCAATCTTGCACACACACAGTAGTTATTTATATTAAATCAACTCAAAATTGAGATATAATGTGTTATAAATACTTAGAATAAAATGTGAAGTAAAAAGAATTTAACATATACAGAAATAGAAGGAATGAGTAAGTATGAGTTACTACTCATGGTCTCTGTGGTGACAGATCAGCAAGTTCAACAGAGATAAAAATTAGGATGGGTCATTTAAATTTTTACCTTCTTTCTACTTCAGGAAGGCAAAGGCATAAGGAAAAGGATTTGTCAGAGGTCTCTAAAGGGTCCTTGACAAAAATAAAGAGATGGTTGGAGGCTTTCCACTGCAGTTGGGGTGAAAATTAGCATCAGGTCTCTATTTAGGAGGGAAGAATGGGCAAGGCATAGAAGTTAAACAAAGTGATTCCTACTCATATATCAAAAACATTGCCGACTCTAAACCTGGTTGTATCTTGAAAGCTCAAAGTATGGACTGCTACAATTTTTTAAAAGTAGAGAAACTAGTTGTCTGGAGCCACCGTGGAGCAAACCATCCAGTTAATCAACTTTTCTGGATGTTTCAACGAGATCGCTCATTCATAAAGAGCAGCAACAACTTTCTTCTCTAAGCTTTGACTAGTATCTTGAACGTCTGCAGGAAAGCAGTTGACTTAGCAGTTTGCGGTGTCAAGAAAAAACCACAGACTTTTATTGTCATGATGCATTGGAGATTAAATATATTCATGAATATGAAAGTACTCTGCAAACTATAAAGCACCATTGAGATAAAACATAGTTGGGTGTTTTTAGTGTTGAGTTATAATCGTTTAAAATTTATTAGTTTGAAATTCGATTTTCACATTTTCATATTTAAGATGTGTATTGTGTGTGTGTGTGTGTGTGTGTGTATTTTCAGATAATCACAAAGACTGTTCTGGTGTGTCCTTGCACCTCACCCGCCTGCCGTAAGTACTTCCAGTTACCCCAGCTCAGTGACAGCTTTAAGATCTTTGAGAACTTAAAAGTGGGAAATCCACTGGATTCATTGTCTATTGCTGTATTACAAATTACTCTAAATTTAGTGGCTAAAACAACAAATATTCTGGGCACAAGCTTACCGGGGGACGGTGGCTAGTGGTCTCATACAAAGGCTGTGATCAAAGGCTCAGCCAGGGTTTCAGTCATTGGGAGCGAGGGGTGGGGAGGGGTCCCCTGAGGTGGAGCCATGTCCGGGATTACTCACATGGCTGTTGACAGGATTCAATTCCTTGCTGGCTGTGGGCTGGAGGACTCCCTCATTTCTTGCCTCGTGGGCTCTAAACAAGACAGCTCACAATATGGCACCTGGTTACCATCACACCCAGCAACAGAAAGCAAGAAAGGGCGTGTAAGATAGAAACCACAGCCTTTTTGCAGCCTAATATCGGAAGTTACTGAATAATATAGAAGTCTGATAGGTGAAGAAAAGAGTTGCCACAAATCTTTATACTCTGACTCCTATGGAAAAAAAAGTGAAATTGCATTTGCCTTATTCTGCTTGTTAGAAATAACAAATGCCTAAGTCTAGTTACTATGCTCAATCCATGCTTAAGGGAAGAGGATTCGACAAGGGCATGAGTGTCAGAGCTAAGATATTGAGAGCTAGCTATTGGGAGCTTTATTATAAGCCAGGATTCTCCAGAGAAATCAAACCAGTAGAAAGCACACGCACATGCATGCGTGCACGCACACACACACACACACACACACACACACATGTATAGAGAAAGCCAGATTTACTTCAAGGAATTGGCTTACATGATTGTGGGGGCTGGCAAGTCTGTGATCTGCAAGGCAGGCTGGAAATTCTGGCAGGAGTCAGCATGCAGACTCGAGGCAGACTCCAGTGCAATCTGGAAGCAGAATTCCTTCCTCTTCCTGGGACCTCAGTCTTTTCTCTTAAGAGACCTACCCACAGGGTGAATGGTAATCTGATTTACTCAAAGTCGATAATTAACATGTTAGTTACATCTAAAAAATACCTTCACAGCTACATCTAGACCAACGTTTGACCAAGCAACTGGGCTATCACTTGCTTCACCAAGTTAACACATAGGATTAACCATCACAGGAGCCATTTAGAGACTGCTTTCCAAGTGCACCATGCCATAAAAAATGTGTTTTTAATTCCTTGCCCAGGAAATTAAGTTATTTTAAGAAAAACATCTATTCTACCTCTTTTTCCATATTGTTTTGTTTTAGTTTTCACGTGAATCTTATAGACTGGTGTACTGAAGTATATCTTGTTTTTCTAAGGCCATAGTTTTGATGTTTCAAATAGTTAAGATAAATATTATTGTTTCCCGCAGACAGCCATTAATTGCTGGCATGTACCTTATGATGTCTGTTGATACTGTTATTCCACCAGGAGAGAAAGGTAATTATTTTTTTCAGATTTACAATGATCTCATTACTTAATATATAGAAATGCATTTACAGAATATTTTTAATAAAATTTTGAAATGACCAATATCTCTGAAAACTAAACCAATTCTTATTATTATCCTTAGATTTAAAATAGATTTTTGTATTATTCTAAGCCAGTAGTTTATTATCATCCATTCTTTTATTGAGATGCTAAGAATTAAGGTCCATGGGTAGGTAGTAAGTTATGTAAATGAAAGAATAAATCCTGAGTATTTTACAAATCAGTCTTCCATTCTTTAATGGAATGGAATTGGAAACAAACCTCATAGCATACTGTGACATAAACTGCTACAGAGAATATCAGGTTCAAAATCAAGAAGTTAGCAAATCTTGATTTGACTCAATCTTCGAATTCAGATATACTGAGCTTAATTCTCTGTTTGTAAAATGGGGATAAAATAGCTGATTCTCCGAAACTTACTAAAAGCTTTTAGAATAAGTGTAATATTATTTATCAATGTATCTGATCTTCTGATGAAAATGCCCTATTAAATATTATTCATTTGTTTTTACTGGGAATCTTTTAAAGCTAATGACAAGTATGGTATCATTGTTACTGCTTACTTATTATCAAAGACATATTTATTGAATAACTACAGTGTTTTAAACTGAAGGGAAAGAGATGTATATGAAGTGGTTCCTTCTCAACAGGAGCAGTCAATCTAATTACCTTAGGTGTTTGCAATTTTTCAAAAATCCTTATTTTCTAAGAAATAAAAACAATTTTTAAGCTTTTTCAACTGCATAAATTTCATGGTAAAAGTAACAGATTAAGCCTATGTTTTTCCTGACGGTATGTCTTGATTTGGTCCTAGACATTTTCTTGTGAAGGAAATTAAATGTGAGGGCAAGAGGTTATTGCAAGAGGGTAAGAGGTCATCTTAGAAAATTGGCTGGCACATAATAAGCATGTAATATCCACTGAGTACATGAATGCATGTCCACTTTATAGGAAAATCCCTATGCCTAGCATCTTGTACATACTGCTACCTATACATACTTTTAGACAAGAATAATGTTGTTTTCCAGCTGGATAGTGACCTGTTTTCTGTGTTTTCATTTCTAACAGTGGTGAATTCGGATATTTCATGCCATTACAAAAAGTATCCAATGCATGTCTTTGCCTATAGAGTTCACACTCACCATTTAGGTAAGAACTTTAAACTATAGGTTAAATTATAAATATTTACCACTGTGCTTGCTAATGCTATAAATGTACAATGTAAATTATATTTGACCTTAAGTCTGTTTCTATGAAAGATGTTGTTGCATAATACCTTGAAATTCTATGTTTTTTCATATCTTTTCATTAAAATACCTAGCGTTTGGGGTTCTGACAATATTCAGATTTTATTTTGAAAAAGGAAAGCAAATAATGCCTTTTATTTTTCTAATACTTTATGATATTATATGATTCTAATTTGTGTTCATTACAGGTAAGGTTGTGAGTGGGTATAGAGTAAGAAATGGACAGTGGACACTGATTGGACGCCAGAGCCCCCAGCTGCCACAGGTGTGTAGAAACTAGTTTAATTTTGAGAGAAAAAATGTTAATCAGCAGATAATAATTTTAGAAACCCTCATAGAATCCTTGTGAATGTCTCTAGAATCCTAGCATCTCTAAATCTACCATTATTCTGTATCTAAGCTGTGTGTAACTGCCTTTTTTACAACTTCCAACTTGATGGTTTCTCTTAACATTTCTAAACAGACTTGCACGTGTGTGTCTTCATCCTTTCTACCCAGGGCGTGCCAAGCCTCACATTATTAAAGCATGCAGTTCTGGGGTTTATTGGTAATATTAATGAATTGTGTTTATCTTCTTGGCAGGCTTTCTATCCTGTGGAACACCCAGTAGATGTTAGTTTTGGTGACATATTGGCAGCAAGATGTGTATTCACTGGCGAAGGAAGGACAGAAGCCACGCACATTGGGTATGGTTTTGCAAATTTCGCTATTTAAAAGTATTTTATTGGGGCAAGGCATGATTATAAGTGACATTTATCTTTGTGACTGAATCACAGACTTTCTCCTATCATGAGCAATTATAATAAAGTATATATAGCCTTTTCTCATTTTAGAACTGAGTGATGAGGATAAACTCCAGAACATGTGCTTATTTTTTTACACTTGCCTTCCTCCTTTTTATTCAAAGCCTTCCATATCACACCTCCATATATTATGCTTGTCGCAAGAGTGTATATTACTTCCTCAGGCTCATTTAATAAAGAAAAACATAATGGAAAATGAAATTTCTTTCTCAAGTGTCCTTTTGCCCTATGTTCAAATTTAGGTAAATATATAGCTTCCACATTTGGTGGTGTCCATTAATTACTCAGAACTGTGATTTTTTCTGCCTGTTAAAACTTCTATGTATTCATTGTTTTCCAGTTGTTTAGTCAACCAAATGAGAATAATAATATGTAGCACTTTTCTAAAAGAGAACATTGGACTTTAAACAGTTTTTAAATATTGAGCCTCTTTGAAAGAAGTATATTTTTTATAACACTAAGTAAAATTTTCAAAGCACTATAAACTCTTTCAAAAAAAGTTTGCCTAAATTAAAAATGAAAGATAAAGGCCCTTATCATAGTTTTTGTTGTTTTGTTTTCTTTTGTTTTGTTTTTGCCAGAAAAGAACCAAGGAGCCTTCTTTCCATGTTACACTAGGTTATAAAATATTTACTGATGCCACCTGGAAGCTGGAATTTTAAACTACTTGTCTTTGATCAGAGAGAAGTTATAGAAAGTAGGCACCTGAAAATATGCACTAGATGTACTAACGATGATTCTTGCAATGACAACACCAGCTATTGGTTGTCAGGGGAAAGGGAAAAGATGCTGAAGCAAGTAAAAGGAAAAAAAGGCGTTTGAGACAGTGGAATAGGATTTTTTATTTCTCTCTAAGATGATTTTTATATTAATAAACATCAATTTTAAGGCTAAGGATAGAGCAAACAAAAAAATTATCGTTACATTAAACAAGAAGTTTCTAAGAGTTTTGCTTTTGGATAAATTTTTTAAGTTTGGGAGTCTTGAGGAAAACAGCAAAATTACTGAGTCACATGAATGGTAAGTAAGAAAAGGCTTGACAAAGTAGACAAAATTAGATTTGAAGGAAAGAATTAGACCTTTACTTCTCACGTGAAGTAATAGGAGTCACAGGGTATTGATCAGCTATTTTCCACTCTGTGTTAGCGTAGACCTCCACAGCTTTACTGAAGTACCATTGGTGATTTTATTAACCTTTGAAATAGGTAAACAAAGTAAGAAAAAAATCCCTTTCAACACGTTCTGTGTATTAGTGTACAAGTGTGGAATAGGTAGAAATTTTTGCTGAGAGCCCCCTTAGCAATTTGGAAGGACTTATAAGTTTGACCAAATTATATCCTTTGAGTGTCCTCTGTGAGGCAGTATCCAACATAAAAATTAGTAACTTGTTAATAGTGCCAAAATGAGAGGCCAAAGTAATCTCAGGAAGGCTGTTTCATTTTTCGGAGTTCAGAACTAATTCCAAATAATTCTAGTCTTTTTAAAAATATGCATTTTGCTTGGGGCACCTGGGTTGCTCAGTCAGTTGAGTGTCCAATTCTTGATTTCAGCTCAGGTCATGATCCCACGGTCATAGGATTGAGCACTGCATCAGGCTCCATGCTGGGCGTTGAGCCTGCTTGAGATCTCTCTCTCTTGCACGTGCACACACACTTTCTCTCTGTCTAAATATATATGTAAATAAATAATAAAATAATACCCTAAAATGACTGTAAATCCCATGTGGGCTAAAGGGAATGCCATTTTGAAATATAAATGATAATAGAAGGAAATTACAGGAAATTAAGTTATGGGATGAGCCCATATTTGGAATA